CCCCAAAACCCCAAAACCCCAAAACCCCAAAACCCCTCCCGGTAAGCCTAATATTGAAATTAAGAACTATTTTTATCAAATAATGCTTAAAAAGAATCTCTTGTTGTTATGACACTGTCATCTTTCTCATTAATATTGGCATAACTTTTATACTGAACTATTTCCCTTTCTCTATTACTTTTCGATCTAAACAAGTCTTCATGTGCTTCTGTATCTCCTGACGATAATAGACTACTCTCATGATGATCTTCATTTTCTACAACTGTCCCAGAGGCCCTAACAAAGATGCTGACATCAGAGAACCTATTCTCAAGATTCCGCCCTTTCAGAATGCTAATAAGGTATTCTGGAAAGTCAATGTTATTGGCAGTATAAAAGATGTAAATGAAGTACCAGATCACCTTCAGAATAGAAATTGCGAATACCAAAATAAATAACAATGTATTCTGAAATTTATCTTCAAAATAGTCTATTCCATGAAAATTAGATCCGAGAATGGCTCCTAGAGAGCTATGGATAACAACAAATATCTTGAAAGCAACACTTGATACGAAGAATCTGAAGAGTTTGGTCTGAACTGGCTTATAATGCTTGAATAGAGATGAGTTCAGTTTCTTGTGTAAAGCTCGATATAGAAAGAGCTCGGTAATAATTAATAGCAAGTAAACTCCTGGTCTAGAGTAAGACAAACCATACTGGATGAACCTAGAAGCTATACAAAGAGGGGTATTTTTAGTAGATTTTGATGTGTCTTGGATCTCTTCACAACCAAAGACTTCTCCAAAAATCACAAAAATTAGAATTGCTAAGATAAAAGAGTAAAAGCTTGTCACAGCAATACCCCAGCTGACCTCAAATCCAAGATTTTTATTTCTTATACTCATAAATTTCAAAATCTTCCTGGTTTACTTCTCTAAAATTTTTCAGATGGTTCAACAAGATGACCCAATAGATCTGATTCATTAGAACAAATCAAAAGAAATGAATATCATATATAAAGAAATATTTTAGTCCATAAGGCATGCCAGATCTTAAAATTAACCCAGTAATTATTATGCCAAGGCCTATGGTGAAGTGCAATAAAAGTAGTCAGTACTGTATTATCTAAAAAGTTAGTCAAAACCCTACCCTTGCGATATCGACATACTCTTGATTTCTCTTTTGTAATAACCTTCTACACAATAAATCTCTGTTTACTTACTTAAAGCATAAAATAATACCGAATGTAAAGGTCATGCAGAGGGCGACTCTGAAGGAGAAGCTAGCCCAATAATAAAAGCTGTTGTCATTGTCCTTACTGCCTATATATCAGATACGGATTTAATACCAAATTCCAGCATTTTCTCGTGATAATAATATAACACTGGGGTTATAACTTCCCAGGGGTTTTGGGGTTTTGGGGTTTTGGGGTTTTGGGG